GATCACCAGGCCTGTCTCCCAAGGTACCTCTGGATAGGTTTGAACCACCAACCTTCCGGCTAGCAGGAGAGCTCTTAATATTTTGCGATACCCAGAACTCCATGTACACTTTGAAGAATATAAAAAAGAAATCAGCCACCCCTGTGCCCACCTTCTAGCTTAATAGAATATTTCTGGCACACATGAGCCCTTCACTCACTCATATCCCCTCACTGCCAGCCCCAGGAGATCATTCCTGTATTTCATTGATCATTTCTGTTTTTTGTTTTGTTGGGTTTTGGGTTTTTTTGCCTTATGGTTTTACCATATGTCCCATATTTCTTCCACAAATAATGTGCCCATGTAAGTAAGTCGCTCACACATATCACACACAACATAGCACAAATATGAAAATGGCACAGGGGAATTCTGTGCAGTTGGAAAAAAAATACACAACGTATGCATTATTTGCATAAATTACGGTGTATATATGTGTTCCTGGGAGCTCTGGTGGCATAGTGCCTAAGCCATTTAACTGCTAACCAGAAGGCTAACCCACCAGCCACTCCTCGGAGGGAAGGTTGGGCAATCTACTTCTGTAGTGATACTGCCTTGGAAACCCAAGGAGGGGTCGTCATGAGTTGGACCCGACTCGATGGCATTGAGTTTGGTTTTTAGTCTTTGATATGTGTTCCTAAACCATGTATTATGTAGTTTTATGTGTTTTTTAACTCTGTAGAAATAGAATCATTCATCTCTAGTCTCCTGTGACTTTCTTTTCTCCTTACTTTGTTAGTGAGAAGCATCCTGTTGATATCTTCAGCTTTAGTTGATCCACTTGCACCACTCACTGCAAAGTCTTCCATTGTATGAATATGCTACAATTCAGCTAGTCTCCTTTCAGTGGACATTTGGGTTGTTTACAGTTTTCTGCAAACAGCCTTGCATGAATATTCTTGTAAATGTCTGCCGGTGCACATGAACAGGGGTTCTGCGGAATATTTATCTAAAGTGGAAGTGCTGGACTGGCGAGTAACACATTGCACTAAATGCTGACTTACTGTCCCATCAGTAACAGATAATACCGTACAACACTTGTACTACCACTCTTCACTTCCTGACATGGCTAGGTTCCAAAGACCAGGACGTTATGTGAAAATGGAGTATGACCACATCAGATCACAAAGCAGAGGAAGGCCACATCATTACCTAACTGCCAAATTTCATCATTACATAACTGCCAAACCATGAGAATCATCACCCAGCCAAGTTGTCCCAACAACCTTACCATCACAGTCAGCATTACTCTCGCCTCACACCTCAGCAGATATGTCATTAATGCACAAAATAGTCAGATAGACTTTTTTTT